GTGTTAGTTTTTAATTTGTGTACGTGTACGTTGCATCGTACGTTTTATTGTGTATGTGCACAAATAAACTACATAGTGGTTTACCGCTAAACTTCTTTTATACAAAATAGTATTTTTTTGGCCCTTTTAAATCTAATAACCGTCTACCTTCGTCAAATTTCAGATACTTTTTTCATGTTAACACAAAACTCCATCAAACGTGTAAAAACTTTTTGCCATCTTAACTTGCAAAAAGGTGTCGTGTGTTCAAAATTAAGTATGTTCACCTGCGATATACCCACATTAGAGCTCAGATGTTGTCAGACCCGAATAATTTCTTAATCAAGCCGCCTTTGTTTACGTTAATTGTGTCATTTGCTATTCCATTTGGGACACGGCAACAGACGGAATGCCAAAAATACTTATCCTTTAATGTGATCACGACACGTATGAGAGAAGCTAAATTACTTTTAGATTTGCTTAATGACATGCGCGACAAAAAGGTTTCTAACAGATAAGGCTGTACACATACTGCGAATAAAAATTATTTTTTACTAGCTGTTCCCGTGCGACTTCATCCGCATGAAATTATAGAAACTGTAATATATCTTCGACATTTGTTTAATTTTTCTATTGGAAATGTCCAAATTACCGTTACCACAATAACCTCGCTTTCTTAATGTTGGCAGCTTCTTGGTTTTTTTTCCAATTTATTTACCCTCTACTTTAGATAGCGTGAAAATATATAGCCTAAAGCGTGTAGTAAGTGTATGGCTTTTTATTAAAAAAAATGATTATTAAAAAGCATGCTTTGTTTGCTGACATCCTACGCCACGAAGTAGTGTGTGTTCATGCTGTACTACATTGTATAGAAGTATAGATTTATTCTCTACTTTCAATGATAGAAATGAACTTTCTTTGTACATCTACAGAGTAAACACTTAAGTAACTTAAGTAAGGTACTAGAGAGAATGATATTTAATAAAAAGTGGAAAACTATTAAAATTGTACTGAAATTGCAAATTGCATTTTAAACCCAATCTTGGTAAGAAATCTTACGAACATTATAGAAATTTCAAGGATGATTTATATAACAGGTTCTGCGCATTACGGGGAAGACAGCGTCGGATCATTTCCATACTTTGAGTACAACGTGCCTCGGAATGTGACCACAGTAGTCGGACAAACTGCCTTCCTACATTGCAGAGTTGAACAGCTCGGGGACAAAGCGGTAAGTTTATAGACTATCACTTTACTTCAATAATAGGATTAACCAAGTTAACTCACAATTATTATATACAGGGGTAATATATACAGGGTCGACGAATGAATTTATTACCTGACTGAGAATTAAATTACCCGACTGATTAAATGTTTATTTACCTGACTTACCAAAAGTTTAACTGAACGATAATGTTTTGTTATCAGGCAGATTAAAAGTTTATTTATCTCACTGACTAAATATTTATTTAACTGACTATCTATCATCATCATCATCACCAGCTCACTTTACGTCCCCACCGAGGGGCTCGGAGCCTACCCTAATCAGGGGTGACTAGGCCATAGTCAACCACGCTGGCCCACTGCGGGTTGGTTGACTTCACACATATCTTTGAATTTCTTCGCCGATATGTGCAGGTTGCATCACGATGTTTTCCTTCACCGTAAGAACGTTGGGTAAATTATGTACGTATTAAAATTCGAAAAATCGAAAATCACATTGGTACATGGCGGGATTCGAACCCAAGACCTGTAGAATACAAGTCAAGTGCTTAAACCACTGAGCCACTGATGCTCTCTATCTTTAAAAATAAATAATTTGATAACAATTTTAAATTAATTCAATATTATTTAGGTATCCTGGATAAGAAAAAGAGATCTTCACATCCTTACTGCTGGTATTTTAACTTATACATCGGATCAGAGATTTCAAGTAAGTTAAGTCAAATTCATAAATAAAATTAAGATTATGATTTTCGAGTACAGCAAAAATTGTTGCCAAAAATTGTAAAAATTGACTCAGTTAATGATTACGAGAAAATATCAGCCATGAACAAAAGCGTAATATTTTTCGAATTCATTATCAAGTAAAAGTAATAAAAAAGTGAGAACGCTAGAGTAAATCAAACTTTTTAATATTTTTTTAGTATGAAACTCAATTTCAAATAATAATACCAAAGTAAGATTAAAATAGCAAACGTCCTAATATAATTTTGCTCTAGGTTATCAGACCAGATAAATCAGAAAACTGGACGCTCCAAATCAAATTCCCTCAGGAACGAGATGCGGGCATTTACGAATGCCAAGTGAACACCGAACCCAAGATGTCACTGGCATTCCAACTAAATGTTGTCGGTAAGTCTTTGTTAAAGATATTGTAATTACGCTAGAATATTTGTAACTACGTCTATTCAAATAGCTACTTCATGGATATCACATTTGCCGGTACGATTTTCTTTTGTTATTGAACTTGACTGAACTATTAGTAAAAAAAAGTTCGCCTTAACTACTCTTCTTTCTGCTCTGTTTCTAAGTTAAATGTATAAATACAATAGGAAAATTCACTAATACTCGTATTTAGAACTGCTCAATGTATATAGTAACCCTGTCAATCTAATTGTACTAGCAAATATCGAGGTCACAATAAATGTTCCTAAAAATAAATACGATGATAAGTGAACTTTTTTTTTGACTTCTTAATAAATTCGTTATTAGAATAAACAAAAAAGGCAAAGGTAGAGACTCAACGAGCACAAAACAAATTAAATTGCTCGATGACAATACGAAATGAAGGCCGCGATAAAAGTTGCTCTCTTTCGCGGGATTAAATCTCGGTTCAAAAATTTGTTTTCTTCAGACAATATCTACGTTTTATCTCGCTTATATTATACGTCCTTACAACCTAAATGAAAGTATTTCATGGTTTTTCTTTTTCTTCATTTTAATACCCAAACAAACACCGCTTTATGAGGACGGAGAAAAACAAGGCAATCTTCTTCGTAATTTTCTTTAGCTGTTTCATCTTACAAATTTATGAACTGGCTGAAAAGAAACTTAGTTTATATTTTTCCACGATTACTTTTTAAAAGTAATGAAACGAAACGAACAGCCATTTAAAAAAATTAACAGCCAAAACAACAACTTATTACGATTTATTTAATTAAAAAGACAATAGTAAAACTCATTTCTGTTGGCGTAAAAAACTTCTAGTTTCGATACGATAAACTCCTGGGGAACAATAATATGTTTGAAGAAAATATAGCTTTAAACTCTATCTATACTAAAATTATAAAAAGGAAAGATTTGTATTTTATATGTAATGAATACAAAAATTACTGGCCTAAATTAAAAAAAACATCACTGAAGCTATATTTGTTACTGTTATTTTAATTCCGCGTACTCGTTGACGCGTGCAAAACATACTTAAAATCTGAATGGGCTACTTGTAATTATATTATGGGGCATTAAATGCTTGCAAGGAAAAACTAGCGCTGGACAATGTTCTCTTACATAACCCTGGCTTCCCCCCAGAAGAAAGGGTATCTTTTTGAAGATTTCGCCCCAGATACCAAAAAAAGACCATGATCTCAATAATGATAAGTGAAGAGTTTAGTAAATGTCTGTTTGTTATGAATGGAAACATTGTGTGCGTGTTAGATAAAATGTTGTTATCTTCAACAGAAGCCAAGGCGCATGTCCTTGGTCCAGCAGACTTATACGTGAAGACTGGCAGTGCACTTTCTTTGACGTGCATACTCAGCCAGGGTCCTCACGATCTTGGCACAATATTTTGGTATAAGGGTAAGTACACAACACAATCTTAATATCAAACAAGACGTAAGGCATGTTCAATAATAAAAAAAATATGTTAAAGAGATAATTCAAAACTACATTAACTATGTCTGTTGTAAACATTAAAAGACTTTACTTAAAGTTTTCATCGTTCTTTTTAGACACGCCTTTTTCGCAAGTGTCAGTAGCTATTTTTCTACATTTGACATATCTATATGCTATTGCAGCCAGTATGTATTAATTATAAATGAACCTCCTTATAAATTCACAATGTCCAAAAAATATGACGGAATAACTTAGGAAGTAAATTCCTGTCCTAAAGAAATGACTTAAAATTCATTCAAATTTTAGGATCAAATATAATAGAATATAAGGAAGTCGAAGGGAATGAGATCTCGATGGAGCCACGGATTCGCCTGAAGACGGAATGGACGGAGCAGCTGACGTCACGGCTCACTATAGAGAAGCTAACGCCGGGTGACAGCGGCAATTACAGCTGCGTGCCTACCATGGCAGAAGCAGCGTCAGTCAATGTGCACGTTATTAACGGTAAGTGGAACTTCGATTAGTTTTTAATTTAATCTACAAGTATTGATCATATCAATCTAATAATCTTATCTAAATTAAGTTCTTCTTTTTATTGCAATTCCGTTTTTTTGTGTTGTTTAGTTAGTAGTTTTTCTATTGTTGAATCGCACATTTTTGTACAATATTTCTATTAATAAAGATCATTGGGTATACATAGTTGTTATAAATAGCTGTTGGTCTTCGTTGAAAATAAATAAACAAATATCAATACTTTTTCTGATTTTGGGACTTGGATGATGGGCATGAAAACACGAAAATATTGAAATTGAATGTAGCTTAAAATGTAAAGGAAGACCAAAAAAGGATGAATGGTTTATATTTGTAAGGATATGCGTAAGATGGCAGTGAATTCAGATTTGACGGCTGATGAAAGATGTATGGAGAAATGATAATCAGAGAGAAGGGCGGGTGATAAGTCTTCTGAGATAAAATAAAATTTTCCAAAAATCAAATCTATTTAAAGGAAAATTAAATTACGGACAAGCTAGACGAGTACATTTCTCAACATTTTTTTTTCTGTCCAGGAGAACATCCAGCAGCGATGCAGCATGGGAATGCAAATACAGCGTCACCCTGCGCTCTCTCAGTGAATCTGCTCATCTCTCTCTACTGCACCATCGCAACCCTCTACACCAGTACGATTGATGGCTTCAGATGAAAGTTACAAAACACAGCCTTCATCAAGTAAGGCGTCGGAATAAATATAGTGATCCCTTTTTGTTTTATGATCATTGGTAATCTGGTGGTAATTTATCTATTCATTTGTTTCAATTTATTAAATCTCGTTTATACCAAGCTGACCCTTGATTGATATTGTTTTTTTTTTTTTTAATTCCAGTCAAAATTTTAATCTCTCTTCTGCCTACTGTATAAAAGTTATTTACTTTAATTGGATGATTTGTCGGAATACAAGGTTCTCTCTATCTTTAACCAGAAGTTTTTCGGTAGTTCACAATCTGACTGCGCCTTGTAATTTATCTGTCGGATTACTGCGGGTATTTATTATGGTTTAATATGTCGCTTCGCCACTCTTCCTTTCAACCAAACGGCATATTTTCCTACCACAATTTTGCATCTGTTTATAACTAGTTATTTATATACCGACTTATACAAAATCGATAAACCTATTAATACATTTTAAATTCTAATTAAGATAGTTGACTAATTTAATAACACATGTAAGAGTTTAAGACTTTTGATATGCAGATGTGAATTTTCAACCATTCAAATTGAAACAACTTTATTGTTTAAAAATAAGATGACTATAATATAGTATAAGAAGTACAGTCAGCTACATAAATATGTAAACATTAATCTTTAAAAGCTTGTATACGTCTTCGGTTTCTGATATTGACGGGTTTGTGCGTGTATAAAACCGAAATTAAAAAGGCAATTGGCACAATTTTCTAATGTTTTGTTTTGTACATATTTTTGTAGCTGACTGTAACTAATAACCTAAAACACAATATCATGAAATTCATTTAATACAAATTGCAATGTTATTTAAAGCGTAAAGTTCTGTCTGTTAAGTAATTAATTAGCAAAAAATTGTCTTAATTGGGCGAATAAAGAATTTAATGTAACTTCATTAAGGTGCATAGCATTCTATAAATAAATTTTAATTTTGGCTATGAATTGTAAATTCATAATTAAATTTAAGATAGAAAGTATAAAAAAAGTATTTGACAGCAGCAAGTAAAAATTAAGAAGCAAATTAACAATTTACTCGAAAACCGGTGGATAATTTTTTAAGCAAACATTTCTATAATTTTCAAGTGTTTTCAATTAGGTCAAATTTGTAAGGCCAAAGAAAATCTTCTAATTAGTTAAGAACCATAACTTTTTTAAGGAAATGAAAATTAACAAGGAACATGAAAGTAAATGCAGAATTAAAAAAAAACTGAAACTAACACAATTTAGGTCATTTATAAGACGAATAACAAGAAAGAAGAATTTAAAGTCTCCACTATAAGGCAGAGGAAGAACGAAGTAAGTATGGATTGCGTGAAAGAGATGCCTAAGTAAGGAGTGGATTTAGATATCGCGGCTGATAGAGATGTATGGAAGAGCTCGTACTGTGCCGACTCTGTAAGGGATAAGGGCAAGTTGATGATAACTATAAAGAATTGTTTCTTACTTGCTATCGCTATCAAAGCGTTCTTAAAAACATATTGTTGTCTCTTTCATTCTCCTTGTGAAAGACAGGAACAAGTGTATCGTAGTGGACTATAGAAATCATTTACTTTCTACTGTCAAATATTATTCAATTGGGTGAGTCTGACAGTGTTTTGTTTTTCTGGTTCTAAAATCGACTTTCCTCGAGTTGATGAATTCTCAGGTCCTTAATCACAATGTCTAAGCAAAGTTCTCGATAACTAACGAATAGATTAACTGACAGATAAAACTTCGTGTTAAATTGCTTTTCATTTTACAACTTATTTGTAGATTGTGTAAGTGCAATGATTTTATTTGGCAAATGAAAATCAACGGTTACAATTTTTACAGTTAAGGACGTTAATTTCCCACCCATCGAGGGTTTTACGAATTTTATTCGTCACGATTAAAGAAATGTTAATTGATATTATATTGAGAAATTAAACAAATAATGTTTTTAATATAATTTAGGTGAGAATTAGTTCAGTTTCATTTATCATTATAAAGCTATGTAAGTTGTACACATTTACACGGGTTGTAAATAAATTTGTACACAAAAGCACCCAATACTTACCCTTTGTAGTTATTTTAGAGTTTATAAAGTATTTACGTAATGTTATTTTAATTAATAGTAAGTATGTACATAGCATTTTGTAAATAACATGGAATAGTATTCTTTCATTATTATTTAATAATAAATCGTTATTATTAATTTTTTAATAAATAAACTGTAGAAATAATTAAGTGGAAAATGTACTATACTTGTAAGAAAAACTTTGACAAATAAACATAGTAATTATTACGTTTGTTTTATTTATAAACTAGATTTTATTTAAAAACAAAAGTGAGTAGCCTATGTGTTCTTCTAGACTATCCTCTACATCTATACCAAATTTTATCGAAATATGTTTAACCGTTTAGACTACAAACTCTAACAAACATCGCATTTATAGCATGACTAGCTTTCGCCCGCGACTCCGACCGCGCGGACTAAGAAAAAAACAAAAGAGAGTAGCCTATGCGTTCTTCCAGACTATCCTCTATATCTATGCCAAATTTCATCGAAGTATGTTCAGCCGTTTAGGCTACAAACTCTAACAAACATCCATCCATCTAAACTTTCGCATTTATAGCATGGTAAACAGAAATGTAATACTCGAAATAAAAGTCAAAAACAAGTTATTATAACATGATCCGTCTGTAGAAACTTACGGCTAGACATTAGACCTCTTTTTACGCATATCCTCTTATACACTATCCATACTTTCTTCTGTCTTACTCTAGTTTTGAACATACATCATCATCGTCATCTTTCTCCTTATCCTACTCCTGTAGAGTCGGCGCAATGGGTTTTTGTCCTCCACATAACTCTATCATACGTCATCTCAGTCATCGCTCCCTTTTTGATCATGTCACATTTTACACAATCCATTCATCTCTTGCTAGGTCTACCTCTACCGATGTACCCTTCCATACTCATAACTAACGTTCTCCTTGTAATATGCGTTTCATCCCTCCTCATAACATGCCCATACCATGCTTTAAACATACATATTAACTATAAATAAATTCTTGAACTGGACATAAATGTCAAATTTTCGTTAATTTAGTCTAAGTTTCGGTGGCTCAGTTTACTTGACTTGCAATCTACATGTCCTATCTTCAAATTCGTCATGTACCAATGTATTTTTCGAATTTAGAATTTCATATGTACATAATTTACCCGACTTTCTTACGGTGAAGTAACAACCTACACATAGCGGAATTCAAAGAAATACTCGTAGTAGTAAACCAACCCGCAGATTTTAAACTCCTTAGTCGGGATGTATAGTGATTTAAATTTAGTCACACAGACTACGTAAAAAGAAGCTCTATAAACATGTAATCGTATCAAATAACATATTAACAAGTACCCACATATGTTAGACATACAATTTAACAATTTGTAAGGCCTCCGCGCATTGCCTGCAACGCTACGTGACTTATAATATGATTAGAGCTTTTACCACTGATACACGGCGCAGTAATTGTATCAACTATTTATTTATCGAATTAAGTCTACGTAATACACTAATTATCACTAACTTACAATATTTTATACGTAAAATTGGTTTGAGAATAATTTATATATATCGACTTGAGGTCAGACAGGTCTTGGGTTGGAATCCCGCCATGAACCAATGTAATTTTCGATTTTTTCGAAATTTATACGTACATAATATACCCGACGTTCTTACGATGAAGGAAAACATTGCATTGCATTTGATGCATGCACATATCGGCGAAGAAATTCAAAGATACGTGTGAAGTCAATCAACCCGCACTTGGCTAGCATGGTTGACTATGGTCTAGTCACAACTAACTAACGGTAGGCTAAGAGCCCCTCAGTGGGGACATAGGGAGCTGGTGATGGTGGCTTGAAGTAGTACAATATCAGAATTACTATTACTAGTAGTAGCGGTCATGAGTAAAGTCGGCTTCAAGGAATACGCTCACAATAATTCTCATTCAGGATATCATCGTACAAAACTCAGATAGTTCAAACATTGTCCTCGCAACGATCCCTATTTTCAGAATGATTCAAGTTCTCTAGAAAGTCGCTTGGCGGCTTGTGTTCTTATTATGAATTAAATTCATATTGATTTCTTCTTTCGATTGCGACATGTATTTTATTATCATATTTTGGCAAAGAGCAAGCGGTCACCTGAATCCGATAGAATGGCGAAGACCGCTGCCCAGACATCCGTAACTGCAGATACGTTGCCCTTAATCTACGGAGGAGGACAAACGAAAGAGGATATTTTACCTACCCATGACCTAGAGTAGGCCCTCTACCCTGCTATCTACTTTCACGTTCCATGCTTTCCTTATAAGAAATTAGTGTAAAGGGAAAGGAACTAAAAGGATGCCTCCGGAACGCACAGTCATAAAACGAAACGTGGAATTGCTACTACTTCACTCCTGTCTTCTGTGGTCGTGGTATTGCATTTAATGTTAAAGCGGGCTCAAAGTCGCGGGCATAATTGTATACATAAGAAGCAGTTTGTGGAATGAACAATGTGTTTGAATCTTAAATTTAAACAAGGGTACCTTTTAAGGTGATGTACAAAGTGGTTCTTTACGACTTTCTCTAGTATTTCGCTAAAGTTTCATCATTATTAAAGTTATTTTAGGTTTGTTCTTACTTCATAAAACATTATGTATTATTCAAAACGATAAAAGTTAAAAGCAAGATCTTGCTTGAAAAATATTTTATGGCATATTTATGTGTAGCCACAAAATGTGACTTAACGTCGTATAAAGTGGTATTTCTAGTAGCTGTATAATAAAAACTCATACAAAACAACTTTTGGTTTTATTTTATAACATAACTATTTTATTTATCTTAACTTTAAAAACAATCAATGATTCATCAAAGAATGGTACAAAAATATTCATATGTTTTTGTAACGCCTGATGATTTAGATAAAGCAATCAATCACATCCTTGCCAAATTTAATAGAGATCCCTTAAGCGGTTAGAAATATATGTAGTAACATTACTCCAATCATCTAAACATTCGCATTTATAATATTAGTAAGAATATATTTTTTTCTTAACGCCTGATGAATTATATATAGCAATCAACACCATATAAATATTTCTAAGCTTGTTTAAGTATACCAAAATAATGTAAAATTTTAAAAATCCTAATATAATTTATTTATTTATGAGTTTTTAATTAGAGTTCCATGTTAGCTTGACATTTTTATTAATTGTTATGTTATGTTGAGACCTTAACTGACCGTAATTATAACGTTTTCTGCTTCTTTGAAAATATAGGTCAAGTTGTGTAAGATCTTTTTATAGAAACTAGAACTACGGTTGAAATGTAATTTGAATATGAAATAACATGTCAAGATAGTATAAAAGGGATTTATTACGTAACAAGTATATATAAAAGAAAGTTAAAAATACCAACAGTTCACATGTAAAAGAAAGAGCGTCGGTGACTCAGGGGTTTTAACACTTGACTTGTAATCTACAGGTCTTGGGTTCGAATCCCACTATGTACCATTTTTGACTTTTCATATGTGCATAATTTACCCGACGTTCGGTAAAGGAAAACATCTTGATGCAACCTGCACATGTCAGCGAAGAAATTCAAAGATATGTGTGCAGTTTAACCCGCACTTGGCCAGCGTGGTTGACTATGGCCTAGTCACCCCTTATTACGGTAGGTTCCGAGCACCTCCGTGGGGACGTATAATGAGCTGATGATGATGATGAATATGTAAACGTATACAAAATATCATCTGAAAGTTAGATAATAAACTAAAATGTATCAACTAATAAGATATACATTATGTACTTTTAATAACACAACATAGATATGTAAATTTAGTCCTAATTTTAGTCTCTTTTCCTTTCCACCATTTTCTTAATGGAAGGGATGTGAAGGAAAAGTGGAT